GACTCGGGTCCTGGAGAGCAGCTCCAACCCCGTCATGTCCTCAGATGTGAACCTGAGGCCCAGAGAAGGGTAGCAACTTGTCAAGGTCTCAGCCAGGACAAGGATCCAGTTCTTTCTGGATCTTTCCTACTACTCTATTACCTATCCCCTCCTCCAAGGTCCCTTCATCTTTGAGTCTCCTCACTTCCGCCCCTGATTACCACATGTGACTGTGGGTTGTGTCCCCTAAAAAGTTGTGTCAGGGCTGGCTGGCTGGTTAGCTCAGTCAGTTAGAGTGCAGTTTTAAAACACCAAGGTTAAGGGTTCAAATCTCCATACTGGCCAGCCACCAAAAAAAAAAAAAAAAGGTCAAAGTCCTAATCCCTGGTACCTATGAATGTGATGCTACCTAAAAATAGTCTTTGCAGGTATACTTAAGGATCCTGAGATAAGCTCATATTGGATTTATGGAGGATTTACTCATTGGATTTACGGAGGGCCCTAAATCCAATGAGTGGCATCTTTAGAAGAGGAAGAGGACAGAGACACACAGAGGGAGAATGCCACGTGAAGACGGAGATAAAGATTGGAATGATGCAGCTACAAGCCAAGGAATGCCAAGGATTGCTGGGAACCACCAGAAGCTAAGAAAGTCGCAAAAGAAGGATTCTCCCCTAGAGACTCTGGAGGGAGCACGGCCCTGCTTACATCTTGATTTTGAACTTCTGGCCTCCAGAACGCAATGAGAATAAGTTCATCTTGTTTCAAGATAGCCAGTATGTGGTAATTTGTGACAGCAGCCCTAGGAAACTAATACAGTGACCAAGTAGTCTTCTCTTGACCTCAGTTCTATACAGTACTCACCTGTAACAAGGGGATAATGAATCCCCCCACCAATAAGCCCCAGGGAAGATCTGATCAGGCACCAAACCTGGTTCATGGGGAGTGACCAAGAAATATTTGCTGTTATTAGTGGTGATCATCCCTCCCCCAACACTCCTCCCAAAATAATGATGACATCAACATTTCAACACCCACTTTTACTTAGGCAACAAAAAAATAGATCCAGAGCAGTGGGAAGTGGACAAGCAGACATGGAAGACCAGCTGGGAACACAGGAACAGTCAGGAGGTTGTGGAGGGCCAAATGTGGTATGGTTGAAGGGCCTAGAATCTGGAATCAGAACTGAGGGAAGAGTGGGTGAAACCTGGAGGTGGATTTGGAATTCTGCAAATGGTACCAAATATCTTAAGACAGCCCAGTGCCTACAAACAGGCACCAAGAAGCTTTGCTGCCGAGGGCATTTCCCAGGCCTAGCCAGTCTGGGAGGCCCAAGTCCTTGCAGGAGGGGAGGGAGGGGATGTGGGCCTGTCTGGCTCCCTAGTCAGTCTGTCTTGAGCCCCGAGCTCCTGAGGGCTGACAGAGCAATAAGGAGCTGGGCAGCATAGTAAGTGGTCATGGTCACCAACCGGGCGTGAGGCAGAGTCTGAGCGAAGGTGTCCCAGGCCAGCACGCCATCAGAGAGCGTGAAGAGCAGAGCGCCCCACCTGGCGCTCCCACTCTTGGCCAGGCCACGCCACAGCATGGCAGTCAGGATGAGCCCGTAGGCTGCCACAGGCAGGACCATGTCCGGCTCAAGGTGCAGCAGCAGGAGGCTGTAATATGTTATGAAGACCAGGAAGATGGGCAGCAGCAGGCCCGGCTGCAGAGGAGAGAGGCTGAAGGCCCCAAAGTAGAGTAGGTGGGCCACAGCAAAGGCAGCCATGCCTGGCGGGAAAGAGGGGTGGGGGTGCCCAGTGAGGTGAGATCTGTCCTTGGAATTGCCAGAGTCCTTCTGCTTCTCCCCATTACCTCAACCACCATCAGGGCCTGAGGGAAGGACTGTCCTCAAGCACCAACTCCCACCCTGCTGAGCCATCATTTCCTGCCGGGAGATGGCTCCCACCTCTTTGGTGGTCTTTCAACTTCCCTGCCCTTCCTTCCTTGCAACTTCTCAGAGCAGTAGAAGTGATCTTAAAAATGTACTGTCGTAACCTCGCTCTGCTCAAAACTGTCCACTGACTCCCTATTGTTCTCCAGGAGGGCCCCATTGTTACTTGGCCCCACACACACCAGTTGCCAGCCACTCTACTCCAGTCACCCTGGCCTGTTCAGACAAACACACCCGCATACCCCTACCCCCAGGGCCTTTACACTTGCCATTCCTTCTGCCTGGAATGCACTTCCCCCTACATGTTCACACAGCACCTCCTTCCAGACTTTGTCCAAGTGTTACCTCCTCAAGGAGGCCTTCCTTGACCACCCTACCTAAAATCACAACAGCACCTTTTCCTCCACAACACTCCCCATTTTCTAATCTAACACTGACACCCCCTCCACCCCCTAATGCCAATGAACACCATCCGGCTTAGTATAGATACTCGAGTGGGAGCCCCCCTGCACTCCAGTCCAAGTGCCAACTCAACTCAACATAGGCATCTGGAACACTCACCATAGAGGAAGGCCTCTGGCCAGATGAGGCAGGCATCCCCCACAGCCGAGCACACGAGGGCTCCCTGGAGGAGCCAGGTGTAGCCCCTGCCCGAGGGCACAGCCCACAGGAACACAACCAGGCAGATGACAGGCAGGCACTTGACCAGGGCACTGACCCACGATGGCTGGTCCTCAGGAATCCAGAGGAGGAAGTAGACTGAGCAGGTGAGGATGAAGGGGCTCAGCCACCTGCACACATCTGGGTGCTTCAGGAGAGGAGGGGGAGCTGCTGAGCCTCCTGAGCTCAGCCAGCCTCCAGCCCCCAAGAGTCAGCTGGTTGGGTTGGGACTACAGTCTCCCAGCTGCTGTCCCATCCTGACCCCAAGACCAGAGCTATACAGCTTGGGCCTATTCAGGGACCAAAATTTTCAAATTCCTTGGGGACCCAATAACCTAAGCCTCGAGTCTACCAGGACCTGAGGCCCCCAGAACCCAGATCAATCCCTCAAAGATGGAGGCCCCCAGGCTGCTCAAGTTTCCAGGAGCCCAGGCCCCAGCCCCCCACCCACACCTCCGAGTGGTCTCACTCGGACTAAGAAGTGAGGCTTTAAGGGCAGCCCCTCTTTCCCAGCATCCATGTTGGCCAGTGACACTCCCAGAGTGGCCTGTATCTGGGAGCTACTGGCTTCAGGGGGCAGAGAAGAGGGCTCGTGGTTATACATTAACCAGAGGAGCGTCCTGTGGACTCTAAGACTGATGACAGGTCCCAGGGAGATGCTACCCCCACCCCAGGGATGGCCTCTCCTAGCACTTACAGATAAGGTGCCCATCAGGACCCAGAGGTCCCTCTGCCTCAGCCCACAGGGACCTGACTTCTTCCTCCTGTCTGGGGGTGTGGGGCCACAAACACCTCTCCCATTGTCCTGTGCCCACCAATCAGAAAGGACAAAGTACAGGATTTGGGAGTGGGAGGGTTGTCCCCAGCCAGTAGGACCACCCATGGAGGGAAGGGAAGAGTGATTCACTCCTCCACTTGCTGCCCTTGGGGTCTTTCTCCCTGTTTCAACCTTCCCTGGTACCCCACTACAAATACTGGTTCAACGAATGGGTGACAAGGAACATGTGAATGCTCATGCTAAGAATGAGTCACAGCAGTTACTGTGCCTGTCAGCCAAGGACTACCTTCCCGTAAGGGCTCCCAAACCAACTGTGACCCACAGTGACGTCACTGTCCTCTGTCATGCCCCAGCTCACATGTCCTGATGCAACCGAAACAAAGGTTTCCCAGAACAACACTCACCTGCGACGCCTGCAGTGCACTTAGTCTATCCTTCCACCTTCCATCTTGAAGACTCAGGCCTACTGGGTGTGAGGGTGCCTGGCCTCACTGTCAAGCTTGGTTATGGGGGGGTCTGGATGCCCACATCAACCCATGAGGCAGCTCCCTGCTTCCCAACAGAGCATGGGCTCAGGTAGCCGTGGAGTGGGAGCAGGGATTACAGCCTCCGTCACCAGTTCTATCCTCCCCATGTAGGCAGGTGAGGGGTGGGCCTGGCAGGACCCCTCCCAGCTTTGGGCCTCTACTGGCCACAGGACTCCTTCTAGCAGGACACGGTGCTCAACGATTTCCTCAGCCTGTGGAGGGAGGGCACCCTAGGCTGGGAGCCCAACTGGGCCACTTGTGGGCAGTGTGCCCCATCCCAAGCCTGTGTATGGGATATATGCACATGTGGGGCAGGGACAGAAGGGGGCCCTGGGGGACAGCTCACCAGGACCAGGTCCCTACCTCCTAGGAAGTCCCTGACTGGTCTGAGCAGGAGTCACCCCCCCATCTCCACCCCACCCCACAAGGCAGGCGTGGGCCAGCAGCCAAAATTTAAAAGCACAGTCCCACAGGAGGGTCACCAGCCGCAGAGGCGTAGCTGCTCACCCAGGCCACATGCGGCAAGCATAGGGGCCAAGGGTCGCAAGGCCGGAGTACAGGGACAGCACAGGCTCACCCAACCCCATGTCCCAGAACTCAAGGTCTGACCAGCAGGAATCGTAAACTGTCTTCCTTTATTTATATTTGCAATATGAAATAGAAGCTCAGCACAAACACACACACACACACTCACGCCAGCTGGGGAGGAGGGAGCTGGGACAAGGCCACTTGGCAGCAAGGCTAGGACTCCAGACCCTCAGGGCTCAGCCGAACTCCAATTCAGAGCCCCTGGGGATGTTGCCAGGGAGGCCCCTTCTCCCCGTGGCTGGGCTGGCCTGGGTGAAAGTGCAGGGTCTGGGCAAAGGCACGGCTCCCCCCAGGGCCCCTCTGACGCTCCCGCCCTTGCCAGGCCATCCCCCAAGGTGGACCTGAGCTAAAAGGCCGGGTGTGGGTGTGGGTGTCTGCACCAGAGCGTGGGACGGGTGTGTGGGCGGCGGCCTTGGGACCCCCAATGCCAGCCCCCACTGGGAAGAGGGAAGGCTGTGCTTTGGATCCACTGGCCCACAGCATCCTTGCTTCCTCTCTCTCTCTTCCCTCTCTCTCTATATATAGAATATATAATATATGTATCTCTCTCTCTCCCTTTATTTGACTTTCTATATCTTTATTCTAGGAGGCAAAGCTCCATAATTCCACTTCTCAGTGCAAATGGGGGTGAATGGGGGCCTATCTCCTTGGCACCAGCCTCCTGGGAGTCCAGAGGAGAAAACGTAGGGACAATATGGTGATAGGGGTAATGGGGGCCCTTGTGGGACCCGCTCTGTCCCCACCCTGGGGATTCATGGGGAGGACGGAGGATTTGGCCACAGCTGCTGAGACTAGGCAGCTACCTGGGAACAGAAGAAGATACCATGTGAGGGTCCAGCAGCTCCAGCCCCAATCCTTCCCGCCTGCCGCCCTCTCCCCGACCGCCCCAGGCTGCAAACATACTCACTGGGAGCCCGGGGATGTGGGCCCTCCTGGGGCAGAGCCATTGGGCATCAGAGGAGGCTCAAGGGCCTGGGCACTGTCAAGGGAGAGAGGGGACACCCAGGAGTCACTTCCCGCCCCAGCAGCCCCACCCCACCCCACCCTGCATGGCCACCTTGCTGCTCACCTCTGGCTTTGGGGAAGACCCAAGGACTCTGGGCTCTTCTCCCACTCTGTGGTCTGGGGGGGCTGGTGGGCCCCAGAGGCTGGGACAGAGGTAGAGGGGTCTCTGGTTGCACTGTGGGCAAGAGACCAGTGTGGCTGTTGGCATCCACCCCCCACCTGTCACCCTTCATGAGGCTCTCACACCCCAGCCCCACCAAAGCCACCTCACGTGAGCGTACCGCCTGTCACCACCAGGAGAGAACCCACCACCACCCCCCGACCCCCGCCAGGGCAAGAGTGAGGATGGAGGCCGAACCCCAAGTATGTCCTCAGTGACCACATGGATGCCCATGAGGATGCAGAGTGTGGTAGGACTGGGCAGGACAAGCAACAACTCTTTTGTGCCTCATGTCCACCCCCAGGGGCTGGTCCTTACAGGAGCCACTCAGTCAGCAGGCTGAGGCCTCACATGTGGTGCTTTGCACACTTCTGCCCCTCCGGATCCTTTACACCCTCTGTGAAGCCCTTCTCGACCCCCATATCTGCAAGGGGCCCTGTGCACTCCAGGCCGTCCTACCACCTTCACATATACTTACTAAAAGAAGAAACAGCCCTTAGGGCACAGGGGTGGAGCACAACATGAGGCTGGGCCTGGGGGTCCCTCAAGGAGAACAAGACAAACCCAGGCCCATCTCAACAGGGAGGAAGAGAGAGGGCTTCTCCTGGCACCACCCTCACCCCTACACAGCCCCAGATGGGACCTGGCCCAGCAGCTACTATCCCCACTGGTCACCTGTCCAAGGAGCTGGGGGTGGAGTGCATCCCGTGGATGGTGGCCTGGAGGTCCCCAACACTGACCAAGGCCTGGCAGGGGGCTATGGAGGGAAGAGACAGGCCATGTCTCAGCCACTGCCCAGACCTGGCCAGGCTGCTCTCTGTGCCTACACAGCCTGAGGCAGCACCCATGGCCAGTGGTAGGTAGGGCATGGAAAGAGGCTCACCTGAGGGCTCCACTACTTTGCTGCCATCTGTGGATTCCTGAGGTGCTGAGGGGGGTGTGGGGTCCTGAGACCTGGGAGGTAAGAGAAGCAACCAGAGGGGGCAGCTAGGGTCAGCACTTGAGCCAAAGAGAAGACCGGGACCAAGTGAATGCCTCCCAGCCTCAGGATACCAGAGCAATCCCCAGCCATCCTGTCCTCACCTGAGCTGCAGAGCATCACTAGCCAGAGAGCTGGTCAGGCTCTGGGCAGGGAGGTCCTGGGGCATGTCAAGGAGTCCCTGTGGGGCTAGGGGCCCAGAGTGCAGCTCTTCCTCCCCAAAGATTCGGGGGCTAGTTGTGGTGTCCATAGGCACTGGGTCAAAGGTGGCCATCCAGCTGGGGCCTGGGATAGAGGTAGGGAAGCAGGGATAGTGAGCGAGCTTGGTAGCAGGCAGACCACCCCATGTGCACCTGATCACCCCATGTCCACCCGTTCACTCACCTGGAGGTTGAGGGCTGGGGCTGGAATAGGAGGGGGGCCCAGCCGCTCTGCAGGCTGCCCGGCTGTTGCCCTCCTCATTGTCATCCTCCTCATCCTCATCCTCCTCCTCTTCGTCCTCACTGTCGGTGCTGCCTCCACTCCTGCCCCAGAGACTGTCTTATTAGCTAGCTGTGCTGGGAAAGACCACCCTCACACCCTCTTTCTCTGCAGCACAGGGCCAGCCTGTGGCAGAAGCCTGCTGGAGGTGAGTCTTGTCTGTGAGTGAAGCAACAGATGATGACAAAAGGGACAAGGGGGAAGAAGCCAGCAGGGAAGCCATGGACAGCAGGTCAGAGAGGGATCCAGGGAATCCTGGTATGTGAAGACACTCGGAAAGGCCAGCAGCTGAGGGAGTCCCTGGTAACACAATGGGAATGAGAGTGGGCAAGGACTGAACGCAACACCAAGCACTACAATTGTCCCCACCTCACTGTACAACTTGGAAATGTGCCAAGCCTTGGTGGTGGCAAGGACAGACAGACAAGCTCACCAGCTCTCAAGTAACCTCCCAGCTGTCCTGGCCGGTACCTCCCAGCTATCACCAGCACTGTCTATCTCACAGGCCTTTCCACCACCTGAACCATCCTCTGAATGGAAGGGTTTACTTTACTCTTCTTCCAGCTAGAAATTCCGAGAAGTTAAGGGCAGTTGACTTTTGTTACTGTCCTATCCTCAGCCCTGAGAAACAACACCTGGCACCCATAGCTGCTCCAAAAGTACTGGCTGAACAGAGTAACATGTGACCCATGACCATGAAGAATATCCAAATAACCGAAATATCCATCAACTGAGGAAGGGTTAAGCAAACTATACTATTTCTAAAATCCTGAATGTGTACCATTGTTTAAAACAGTGTTAATGACTACTTTAAACAGAAAGTAATACATCTATATATAGCTAAAATTAAACTAAAACATTCAACAACCAAGGAACAGAGGGAACTCCCTCAACCTGATAAAAGGCATCTACAAAAACCCACAATTAATGACACACTTAAATGGTGAAAGGCTGGATGTTTCTCCCTAAGATCAGGAACGAGACAAGGATGTCTGCTCTTGCCACATTTGTTCAACACTGGAGATTAAAGTCAGGGAAACAGGGCAAGAAACAGAAATAAAAGGCATCCAGATTGGAAAGGAAGAAGTAAAACTACTCACAGATGATGTGATTTTTCATGTAGAAAATCCTAAAGAATCCACTACAACTATCAGAACTTACAAATAAGTTCAGCAAAGTTGATTTTCCACATACTCACAACAAACGATCTCCATTCAATGGAGAAAGGACAATCTCTTCAACAAATGATGCTGGGACAACTAGTTATCCACATGCAAAGGAATGAAGTTGGACCCCTACCTCATACCACATACAAAAATTAGTTCAAAATGGATCAAAAACCTAAATGTAAGCGTTAACACTATAAAACTCTTAGAAAAAGAACACAAGTAAACCATGACATTGGATTTGGCAATGAGACACAGATTCACAAGCCAACAACATGTGCAAGGATGTTCACAGCAGCCTTCCTCACAATGGCAAAGAACAGGAACCTGCCCAAAGGTCCATCAACTGTAGAACCAGCAAACGAACCAAGTCACATAACGGTACACCCTTCACACAGCAACAAGAACAACTGAAATCCAAACACATCGACAAGAGGGATGAATCTCATAAGAGGAGTGCTGAGCAAGAGATCAGACACAAAAGGAGATACCGTCTGATTATACAAAGTGGAAAAAGAGGCAAAACTGATCTACAAGGCAAAAAGTGAGGAACCCTTGAGAGGGAAGAAGGTGGCCGGCAGAGGGCACAATGGGTACTGGTATGGTCCTGCCCCTGGACCTGGGTGCTGACAAAGGGGTGTCCATTTGGCCGCCGACTTAAGATCTGTACACAAGTCTGTATGCATGTTACACATCAAAACTAAAGTCAACGCAAAACACCCTAACCCCCAAATCAAAAGTCACGGGGCAAAGCTCAAAGCTGTAGGCCGTGACTTTGTGTTCATGCTGGCAAATCTACATGGCATGAATCCATTTAATGACAGCAATTCTGGGGCTGGCCAGTACTAGAGAAAAACATACAAAGAGCTAATCACAGCCTGATTCTAGAGGGTTGTCATCATTTCTCATTTGACTAGAATTAGGGGAAAAAGAAGCTGTTTGGGACCATCTTACCCTCCTTTTGAGAGCTAACACGGGGGAAAGCAGAGTCGAGGGATGAAGAAAGAGAGACAAAGATACTTTCTGAATGCACCTGTAACAAGCTATGCCTGGAGGAAGGACCCACTCACTCTTCTAGCCATACATAAGGTATTTTTTCCTTTTTTTAGTTTGCTGTGTGTGTTGAATGTCCCCCAAAACTCACTGAAGCTTAATCCCCACTGTAACTGTTAAGAGGGTGGGAAATCCTATTACGGTAATTGAAAGCTGGGGCCTTGAAGAAGTAATTAGATTGTGAGTACTATGCCCTTGTGAATGGACTGATACATTCATGGAGTAATGGGCATGGTTCTGATGGCTTTAAAAGGAGAGCAAGTGAAGAGGTTACTCTCTTGCTCAGCCATTTTGCCATGTGACACCCTGCATTGCTGTGAATGCAGCACCCACCAACAAGGCCCTCACCAGATGTGTTCCCTGAACTTTGGACTTTCCAGCCTCCAAAACAGTAAGCAATAAATATCATTTCTTCACAAATTATCTGGTTACAGGTACTCTGTTATAAGCAACAGAAAATAGACTAACACATAACGTAACTCATTTGAATTAGATTTCAATCACTCAAAATTGAAACCACCCCCAACTAATACACACACCAATATATTTTATTTTTCTCATTCACTTCAGCCTGACCCCCGAGGCCCCACCATGCAGTAGGAGCCTGGAGAAGGAAGGCTGAGAGGGACTCACCGGACACCAGGGGGCTGGCCCAGGTGGGCACCCCTGGCCAGCTGGCTGCCCTGCCAGGCACCATCCTCACCATCTGACTCCCCTGAGCCCGGTCCCTCCTCTTCGTCCTCTTCCTCATCATCATCAAACTGCTGGATGCGGTCCTTGTAGCATATCTCGAGCAGGTTGGCGTTAGGCTACAGGGTGCAGGGGCAGGAGAATGGGCGGCACTACCCATGGTTCCCTCACCCCTCCACCCGCCAGACCAGGGCACGGGGCAGCACTCACATTCTCGTCATCAGCATTGAGGGAGAAGGTGATGTTGGCTGTCTTGTCAAAAGGCGCACTAGGAGAGAAGGTGGAGGCACAGTGAGACAGGGAGCACATGGAAGCAGCACAGGACAAGGCCACAGCCTCCTCATCTCTTTTGCTCAGTTAACACACAGCTGACCTTCATTACTCAAATTCTGTATCTAAAAATTCACCTACTCCCTAAAATGTATCTGTAATCTTTAAATCATTACTTGCAGAGCTCTATGGTCACTCGTGGACATTTGCAGAGCTGCCCAATGCATGCACACGTTCCCAGCTGAGGCTGAACCAGGTCACGCTCTGTCCTCTGGTCTCAGCCTCCTACAGGTGCCCAGAGGACAAGGACGAAGGGCACAGGCCATGCAGGAAGCTCCAGCTCTGGGCCAGTCAGACAGGCCTGAACCCCACTCTGGCACCTGTCAGGCAAGTCAGTTAATACTTCTGAATATTGTCTTCTCATTTGTAAAATCAAGGAAACAGAATCTACCTCGATGAGTGGTTTTGAAGATTTTAAGTTATAACTTATGTGAGACGTTCATATCTAAGGACATTATTTCCTCTAGGTGCAATGATTCAGGTTGGGCCAATTCAGTGTTCATAGTCACTTTGTACAACATAAGCTACTGCAGAAAACAAGGCTCAAACAGTACACCTGTTCAGCACCTACCCTGTCTCCATACTGTGAGAAGCCTCCAATTATACTAGCAGCCATGTGTAACTTAAGTAGAAATCAGAGAAAATATGCAAGTGAGACCTTTCTGTTTGCTAAAATCAGGGTATGTTTGGTTTTGTGGCTGACCTCCTTGTTTTGGTGAGAATATGCAGAGCTGAAGGTGAGATGGACCAGGTGGGTGCTACCCTTCTGGAAAACAACTGGCAAGACCTAGCCAAGCACCAACATGGTTCACTGACTCAACAAAAACTACTAGCCAGACATGACCAGAGCATGGAGCTAAGCACAATAAAGCCCATTTCCTAACCTCAAGACGCCTACACCCAGGGCTGAAGTTCTAAATTATGGGCAAAAGAATAATCTTTGGAGCTCAAACAAAACCCTCCTGCCAGGGCCTCGCCATTCCCGACATCAGGGTAGGACCCAAATGAGGTTTAATTATCTGAACTCCTCAGCATGAGGTCACTCAGCTTGTCCTAAGGTGCAGCATATCACTGGCACATACACTTAACCAGCTCTTGTTGCAACCTTCCGCTGCTGTAAAAAGCTGACTGGAACATCCGTGTGCATGCGCCTTTGCTCAGTTCTCTTTCAAACAGCCTCACAGAAATATAATTCCTGGATTAAGGAATTAAATCTCTACATTTTAAATACCAACACATATTGCTAAAACCAACCTGTCAATTTATACTACCAACAAAACCTACAACTTCTTTACAGTTTACTGCCTGTTCTGTGTCCTTTGCCCAATTTTTCTTTTGGATGTTGGTCTTTCTCTTGTTACAGGGTAAGAGCACTTTGTGTCTATGCAAGAGGTCCATGCTCTGTCCCACATGTTAGAGACACTCCCCAAATGATCACCTGTCTCTCAAATTCATGAAACATTCTGCCACAAAGATGAGTAAGTAATAGTTAATTCCTGAATGCTGACTTGCTGCCAGACACTGTTCCAAGCGCATGACAGACATTACTCACACACTTGGTTCTCACAACACCCTAGAAGGTAAGTGTCCTTATCTCTTTCCTAAATATAAATGCAGAGAGAAGCTGAGGCCCACACCCATGGCACACAACTGGTTCATACTACACTGGCCACCTCTCAGCTGACTCAGCTTCTCCTGCGACAGGAGCCCTGCAGAGCAGCATCTTCAGCTCCAAGATTATAAAAATATTCATCCGTATTCTATTCTAGAATTCTTCATGTGTTTATTTATTTTTTCTCATTTAAAGTTTTTAACCGCACTGGAATTTATCTTGGTGGAAAAGGAAGTAACAGTTTCATCCCAAAAGGGCAGCTACCATCCCAACAGCATCTACCAGTCAGTCAGTCCCTCCTCTCCCCATGATAGGGTCAGGTTTTCCCTTGAGCATCCTCTCCAGGGGTCTCAGTATGGGCTTCTGACCAACAATGACCAGAGGTGTGTGAGGCCCACGTGTTGGACAGAGAAGCAGCAAACACAGGACCTCACATTCAAATCTAAGGTACCTTTGTCCAGCTGTAAGCACAGAGGGGCTACAGCTGACTGTAGCTCATCATGTGCCCTGTAAGTTGTGCTGTGCAGGGACCATGGGCAGCCACGGGCAGTAATCTAGCTCCCAAGTTGACCGGCAATGTCCTGGGCCTGTCTCCCTGGCTGTAAATGGGCTCAGGAGCCTGGCAGCAACGGGTGGTTGTGGCGTGCAATGGGATTATAGCCCAGAGTGCCCACAGTGATGACACAAGCAAGGACCGCAAGCCCCATGCTTCCTGTCCCCAGCTCACCCCTCAGCCACCCATGTCATCTCCATCTGTTCCCCCACAGTCTGTCTGCAGGACGCCTCCATATCCTGCCCTCTGGTGGCAGTGTTCTTCGACTTTTTCCCAGTGACATGGACTTCTTCCTCACAAGTCACCTCTCTCAAGACCTCACATTTTGCGTTGTTCACTAAGCCTCTCCCTCAGGGCCTTGGGGCAGGGGCCTGCTGTGCCCACCTCTGGGGCAGACAGGCTAGCACAGCATGATGAGACTGAGGCCACATATGTGATCTGTCCCAGGCCGAGTTGGTTAGTGGTAGAACCATACTCAGAACCGAGGTCCCCAGGTGGATAGAAGGTAAAGGAACCACTGTCACTGTATCGGGCCCTGCCTTCCACAGAGTTGTCCCCCCGGCCACAGCCCTGCCACGGCTCCATTCCACTCCCACCTCCTGACCCCATCTCCCCACCTATACTCCCATGCTGTCTTCCCTTTGCTGCCTCTCTGCTGTCACAAGGTTGCTCATGCAATTAATTTTGTAAATGTTAGTAAAAATAAGAATAAAAATAAAAATGTTAATAAATTTTAATTTTCTCTCTGATTGTAAAAGCAACAGATGCTTGTGGCAGTAAATTTAGAAAACAAAGAAAAAAGTTCATGACCATGACACCAAGAGATGATTAATGTTAAAATGTTGTTAGACAACAAATACAAAAGAGCAGAACTCATTGCTGACATAAGTCTCGTCAGCCAAAGACCTCTGGAGACAGGAGAGGTGGACTCGTGTGCTCACCGACTCCTGACTAGGCCCCAGAGAGCATTCAGTGGTAGCCCAGCTCTGCCCACCATCAATTCCTGCATTCCGGGACTTACAAGCCTTGCGGTCTGACCCAGCTCCCCTGCACACTTCCTCACCGAGGGGCCCCCCAAGTCTGAGCTCCAGGGGTGGGAACCTGCTTGGCATTCTCAGCACAGAAGTGTTTGTGCCTCACTCTCGCCACCAAGGAGAGACTGCAGAGCCAGGTTGTGGCCTAACAGGAGGTGAACACACAAGGCCATAATAGGGCATGCCCAGGAGAGGTAGGGACTTTAGGCTGGGCTGTGATGGACAAACAGGTAAGCATGGGAGAAAGATGCACGCAGGCCCACTGCAGACAGGAAGGCAAGACAGAGCCCCAGCCTCACACAGCGAACACTCACTTCACACTTTCTTCCTGCTCCCCAAACTCCTCGTCATTGAAGCCAAAGTGGTCGATGAAAGCAGAGGTCATGCGCTGCATCTGGAAGTCCATGAAGGCCTATGGGGGTTGGGAGCAGGCAGGGGTCAGGGACCAGAGGGAGCTGGGCAGGATGAGGTCCACACCTCTGGCACAGCCCAACACAGCCCCAGGCCCACCTGCTGCAGCACAGCCTCCTCAGGGAAGTTGAACTCCTTGAGCCGGTCATCCTCATCATCGCTGGAGGAGTGCAGGTGGTGGGTATTCACCTGAGGTGGGAACATGGGCATCAGGGCCTGCCAGAGCCCCCAAAACAAGGATGGGGAAGGCAACGATGAGATGGAAGCTGAGACTGAACCAAGAGGGAGAGAAGCAGGAGAGATGAGGTAGGAGTAGCTGCTTCAAGTACCCCTCCAAGGAAGCTGGGGGCCTCACCAGATCCACCATGTTCTTCTTGTTGGTCTCTGCAAGAGGTCCAGACACAAATGCCTCCCAGTGCTCCTGCTGCTCACCTGGCAGCTCTGTTCAGGTAGGAAGAGGGCAAGCACATGAGGCACTCCTCGGCCTCCATTCCCCACCCTCGGCCCACCCCCCACAGGCCAGCCCCAGACCTCACCCTTCAGCAGCTGCCCCAGCTGCTCGGCATTAGGCCCCTTCTCCGCATTCTGCACTAGGGCGTTGGCTACTCTCGTCAGGTGGCCCATGTAACCTTTCCGCGGGCCACCCCTGGACCTAGGCAGAGTGGAGGCTGCAGCTCAGCACTAGGACTGGATGTCAGGGGTGCCAGAGCCCCGGCCTTATCCCTCCCCTCCACGCCACCCCTCCCTCCCCCCTCAGTGGCCCAAAGGCCAGCAGGCACTCACTGCACGTGATCATTCTCCTCCCAGGATGTCAGAATACGCTCCACCAGGCGGCAGTGCTGCAGTAGCTATGGGAAGGCAAGAGAGGGTTGGCCTGGGGTCTTACTTTAGCATGTGCTTTACCAGGCCCCAGGCTTGTCAGGGACAGGGTGGGCCCTGGCTGGGCCCTCACCCCCTCAGACTGCCATCCAAGTCTCTGGTCTTTCTACCAGGAGCATGTGGCATATGTACACGTGCAAGCACAGCCTCTCAAGCTTACTGGTCTGTCCCCACCCCTGCCTCCCACTCTCCAGCATCCTCTCTCCCACTGCCCACTCAAGTCATGGCCTTTGCTGCCTCTCTGCACGTACTCCCCAGCAGTGTCTCCCACACCCAGCCCAGGCACCAGCACCTGACATTGCCCAACAAATGGTGGCGGAAGGAAGGGCGAAGGGTAAGCATCTGGGGAAGACAAGCCCCAGAGGGAGGCAATCAGGGAGCCCAGCTCACATGTTTCACGACGGGGTTCTGGATGGGTGTCTCGGGTATGCTGTCGGGAGGGGGCCCTGAGCTCAGCATGGTGCTAATACACACCTCCACTTGGGCATGCAGGAAGTTGTTGAAGACATAGTGGAAGAAGAGGTCCTGGGGGAACACAGGCTGGCACCACAGAGGCCTGGCTCCCACACCCTCATCTCCTCCCACTCCCCAGCCAGTCCCCGCACCAGCATAGTGTTGGGCACATCCAGTGCCAGGAGCTCCTGTGTCAGGGCCACATCGTTGGCACTCAGGGCGCTGGCCAGGAGCTTGACCACGTGAAGCCGCATGTTGCCCAGTGGTGGAGCCAGGCTGCCCCACGTCATCAGCAGTGGCTCCAGCTGCAGGTGCAGGGGAGGTTCATTCCAGAGGACCACCCTTCCTGTCACCCCCCACCTCCCCCTAGGACAGCGACCCATATGCCCCTGACCTTGGGTGGTTCAAGAAGGAGCTGATGAAAGTTGCCAAGCCGTGGGCGCAGGGCATGCAGGGTACCCTCACTGGACATGGTGCTCTCCAGGTTCCCCTGGGCCAAGAGTTCCTGCTGCCCATCTACACTGCTGAAGAAGTTGTTCATGGCCACAGACTCAGACCTGCAGCAGAGGCCAAGGCCAAGGGCACAGTGAGCTCCAAGATGCACTTGTACTCCATGCACACCAAGTGTGCACACAGAGCACATCCAGAGCAAGGAACTGTCTGCTCTCAGGGCCTGCTCTTATCTGGAGCCCTTTGGACAGGTCAGATGAGTGGGGCAGAGACCAGGATGGGAGTGGGGAGTCCAGCTGGCTACAGTGTACCTGGTCCTCTATGGGGGACATGGGCAAGAGAGTATTAGGGTAGAGTGAGCCGCACAGTGAGGGCCAAGCCCTGGAGTCAGACAGCATCAAACCCTGCCCCTCCACCCACTAGCTGTGGGCAATGGACTCAGCCTCAGGTTCCTCACTTGTCAAATAGAACAGGATGACTCATCTTCCAGCACCAGAACGACCACCATGAAAGGAAACAAAGTGGAGGCAGCTATACCAGGGGCCTTGCATAATAGACACTGCAACCTTCCTCTGAGGCTCCAAGGGGTGGTGGAGCCCCAAGGGAGGGTCGGCATACACAACCTGTGGCCAGTGGCCCCTCACCTTGGCCTCCTGGGTTCCAGCAGGGTCAGCAGCACCTGAATCCCACTGACAATGACAGACTGGCTCTGCTCCCCCTCGAACATGTTGCTCAGGAGCTGCTCGATCGTCTCCTGCCTAGAGGATACAGGTAAGTGTCAAGATGAAGGGCAAGGACCCAGGAACCCCCCAGGACTGCTCCCCCCTCCCTGGGCCTTGGCACCCATCCTGCAAACCTACCTCTCCAGAGTGGCTAACAGCTGGTAGGGCTCTGGGCTGTCCTGAACTTGGGTCATCTGGTCCCGGCCCAGGCGGATGATGTCGCACAGGGACTGGGATGCATTGGAATGTTGCTAGGGAGCAGGGGAGAGACAGGGGAGAACCTGGTCAGGCCGCTGAGCCCTCCACAGCCTTGTGTCAGGACTAGAGGGGACAGATGGTGGAGAGAACGGGAACCAAGGAAGGCTTCCCAGAAAAGGAGACATCCACACAAAACCTGTACACACATCACAGCACTGTTCACACCAACCCAGACACCCTTCAGCTAGTGAATGGATAAGCAAAACATGGTCTATCTAGGGCCGGCCCGTGGCTCACTCGGGAGAGTGCGGTGCTGATAACACCAAGGCCTCGGGTTCGGATCCCACATAGGGATGGCCGGTTCGCTCACTGGCTGAGCGTGGTGCTGACAACACCAAGTCAAGGGTTAAGATCCCCTTACCGGTCATCTTTTAAAAAAAAAAAAACATGGTCTATCTATACAATGGGCTATTACAAAGCCATGAAAAGGAATGAAGCACTAATAAACACAACCACATAAATGAAACTTGAAACTATAATGCTAAGGAGAAGAAATCAGACACAGATGATCACATGTCATATGATCCCATTTATATGAAATATCCAGAACAGGCAAATCCATAGAGACAGTGAGTAGTCTGGTGGCTGCCACAGACTGAGGGGAAGAGGAATTTGGGAGGAACTGCTTAATGGGCACAGAGTTTCTTTTTTGGAGGGATGAAAAATATTCTAAATTGAAGGTGGTGACAGTTATGTGACACTGTGAATATACTAAAAGCCACTAAATTATAAACTTAAGTGAATGGGTTGTATGGTATATAACTTATATCTCAATAAAGCTGTCACAAAAGAAAAAAAAGAGAGAAGCACAAGCAGAGCTCTGGTCTATCCCATCAGGCAGCTGCTAGAGCTCAGCCTTGTGGCCCCCAAACCCTTTAGGGACTCCAGGCTGCACTTCAGGGCTCCTCACTGCCCCACAGCTCATAGGAGACACTCTTTCCCCTCTGTCAAAAAGGGCTGAATAGGGGCCAGCCCAGGGGCGCACTGGAGAGTGCGCCGCTTGGGAGCACGGCGGCGCTCCCGCTGAGGGTTCGGATCCCATGTGGAGACCGGTTCCCGCTCACTGGCTGAGCGCAGTGCGGGCACAACACCGGGGGTTGCGATCCTGTTGCCGGTCCCCGGTGCGGGCACGACACCGAGGGTTGCGATCCCGTTACCAGTCAGTAAAAAAAAGACAAAAAGGAAAAAAAAAAAAAGGGCTGAATGGTCATCACCCTCCAGGGACAGGCCTGGCTTGGGTGCTAGAACTGATTGCCCATGGCCCACACTGTGTGAGCCCAAGCTATATCTTCCCTCTTTCACCCACGGGCTATCAGAGGCCAAAGCCGGCACTGGGACATGCTGCTTCTGGTGGCCTCAGGGGTCTAAGGCTCTCTACACTCACTCACTCTGCACCAGGCTTTATGCTGAGACCTGAGGCCAGGATAACACATGGATGCAGGGCCGCACAACCTATTGGTGAGGATAGGGAGCTTGGGGGCCGGGGGAGGGCACAGGTGTAATCCATAGGTGTAATCTCTGAAGGACAAGCAGGGGATCAACTAGGAAGAAATGAAGAAAGAGCCACTAGGCCACAAAAGTCAGCAGAGACAAAGGTAGCAAAGAAGGAAGTGATCCCAGGGCTGGGGGCAATGGCAGGGGACCCCTCCAAAGCCTCATCAGACTAGACTCCTCAAGGATCACGTGCCAAATCCTTGGTTAACAAAAGAAACCTTTCGTGTGTAAACACTTCATCCTTTTTTTTTTTTTTTTTTGGTGGTATGGGGATCCAAACCCTTGACCTTTGGTGTTATAACACCACACTCTAACCAACTGAGCTAACCCCCACTTCATCTTTTATACAACAGGGGAGTGGTGGGGTGAGGAGCATTGATCTGAAGGGAGGAGGCTGAGGAAGGATAATAGCCCAGGCACTCACATTGTCGTCCTTTGACGGGTGGATCTGTTCAATCAGCCGCTGGATTATCTTCTCCTCATTGAGCCACTGAGGACAAGAAGGCAGGGCTCTGTTAGGTTCCTAACCTGCCTCCATTGGGACCTCCCCCACCTCCAGCCCTAGGGGAGTGGGCCCTCCTCACGTTGACGACGTCCTGCCGCAGCTGGGGCCGCTCCACACAGGTGAGCAGGCGCAGCAGGAGGTCCATGATAGCTGAGGTGCCGATGTGCTGCAGCAGCAGGTCCACAAAGTCATCCTTCTTCCGCAGGAAGGACACGAGCTAGGGGCACAGAGGGCCATGTCACAGCACAGGGACCATGGGCCCACGTCCCCCACCTGAGGAAGCTGAGGGAAGGGCAGGCACCTGGTCTGTTTTGCGGTTGATGAGGATGCCCATGACCTTACTGAAGAAGCTGGCAAGCAGCGGGTTGAGGCTGCTGCCGCTCTGCAGGAAGCCATAGAGCCGGTTCAAGAGGGACTCATCTGCGCCCAGGGCATCATTGATCTGGGGCACGTCCGAGGTCAGGATCTCGCAGGCCACACTGGGGTACCTGGGAGGCAAGCGTGGGCAGGCAGGGGCTCTGAGGGGGCAGGAGGCTCCACCTCATCCTTGCACCAGGCTCACGAAGAGGCACCACAGGGATAGGGGCAAGGAGGAAAAGAGGGCCAGGCTTCCTCCTCCTCCTCCTAACACCCAGCTATCCCCTCCTTGCTCAGAATGTACCATGGCTCCCCCCCTCCCCCAAGACAATGTCTGAGCTCAAGCCTGGTCCTGAAGATACTGCATTTTCCTGTCTCTCCTATCTCCTTGCTATCCTCAAATGCAGCATTGTGCACTGCCCCAGCTCAGGCTGCCTCTCTCCTGGGTCACTATCCAAGCTCCTCTCCCCACTCCACCCCCACAACCTTTCCAAATCTCTAACCTCATCTGCCTCCCTCCTTCAAACACTCACATGGTGCCTGACAGCCCCCAGGACAAGAGCTGCCCTGCCCAGCATGTCCCCCAAACCCCACAGGACCACAATCTCTAGGTCTGACCTGTAACTGTGCAGGACCCTGGAAAGTGGGCTCCTTCAGGCAGGGAAGGGACCACACGGGCCAGCAGGGTGCAGATATAAAAATGGAGGCTCCCACAGAGTCCCCAAGCTAGCTGTGAGCTACGGCCTAGTCCACAGCCCGGTAGACACTGGACAAATGAGGGTGGGTAGGCAAGACAAAGGCCCTAGGTACAGAAAGATCAGAGCAGAGGAGGAAGAGAAGACACACGGGGTGGGGGTGTACAGATGAACATCAAGGAGCATGAGGGATACTCTGCTCGCCCTGCCAGAGGTGCTATCAGCGGCAGCAGGGACCAGCCAAGCAGATGCACAGCGAGGCAAGAAGTGGCACGTATACCCATTAGGGCAAGAGGGGCTGGGCAGAGGGCACTGCCAACAAACTGAGAGGACAGACAGGAAGGGCACAGACACATGGCCAATGGGAGGAGGGGCCCGTGAGGGGCAGCAGAGACTGGAGCAGACACTTCCCAAAAACCCGGACACAGCCCTGCCTCTGGGTTCTGTCTCCCCCATGGCCAGCCCCTGGGGCGCACCCTCCGTCACACACAGGGCACAGCAGGCACCTCTGGCCTGCACATGAACAAAGCTGCCTCCACACCAGGCGCTCTGCCCAGCACCGGACATGTGTGGGTGGGCAGATGCAGCCACTGCCCCCTTGAGGTTTACAATACAAAAAAAGAAATTAACAGGATCACAGGTGAAAAAGATGCTGTCTGGAATTAGGGAATTTGCTTTAAAACACACCAGGAGCCCTGCAGGTCATCCTGCAATGCAAGGGGGAGCACTTGGACTCAGATCAATTGGGAGGGACCTCGCTATTTAATCTCAATGAAAAGAAAAAGACATGAAACAGCTTGGATGAATTTCCAGAGAATTATGCTGAGAAAAGCCAATCCCAAAAAGCTACCTATCATATGATTCATTTCAGAAGACTTTTCAAGTGACAAAATTGTATAAATGGAGGACAGATTAGTGGTTGCCAAGGGTCAGGGATGGGGTGGGAGGGAGGTGGGTGTGGTTATGAACAGGCATAGGAGAGATCTTTGTGGTATGGAAGTTCAGGATGTTGCTGTGATAGGAGACACACAAACCTACGAAGGAGATGAACTTAATATGCATGCACACAAACAAACAAATACAAGTAAACCTGGGGAACCTCATTTTGACAGGTGGACTGTATTGATGTCACCACCCTGGTTGCGATGCCCACTACAGTTTTTCAACATGTCACCACTGGGGAAACCAAGCAAAGTGTACTCAGGGTTTTTCTATTATCTCCTACAACTCCGTATGATTCTACAATCACTCCAATAAAGATTTCAACTGGAAAACAAAAACACTAGAAAAAAGTTAGGGTGACAGTTAGCAAACGAAGCAAGATTGGCAAAACATTGCTCCTTGTTAAAGCTGGGAGCGACCATGAGATTCATTCTACTAGTCTCATCTATATTTGTGTCCATCTATTCTATTTTGGCAGCTGGCTACCTATCTACCTGCTTATTTATTTATTTATTTTGGCAGCTGGCCAGTATAAGGATCTAAACGCTTGACCTTGGTGTTACAAGGCCATGCTCTAACTAACTGAGCTAACCAATCAGCCCTTCTCCCATTTTAGTTATATCTGGATAATTCCATAATAAAAAGCTTTTTAAAAAGCCGTATGGTGAAGTGGTCTGGAGCACAGGTGTGGTCTACACCCAGGCAAGCTGTGTGACCCTGTGCTGGGGCCTGGCAGCTCCCTGCATTGGTTTCCTCATCCCCAAACCAGATTTACTCACATCAACTGCACCTCAGGGCAACTATGAGGCTTATACCTTTACCAAAGGTGTATGTGAGATGCCAAGACGGCATGGGATGGCCCAAGAACCAGAGTTTGGGGTACTGGGGGTTGGGGGACTCACCTGTAGCGCAACCGCTCCTCACCGCTGGCTGGTGGCTCCTGGGTTACCCAGGCCACCATGGCCTGCAGGTGAGGCGGCTGCAGCAGGAAGTCCAGCAGCTTGCGATTGACCACCTTGCACTCCTGCAACACGTCCTCCTCGTCCAGCAGCTCGGGCAGGCTCAGGTCCTCCCGCTCCAGCAGCGTGTCCAGGTGCGAGCTTGTGTGTAGGTCAAACTTCCAAAACATGGCGCCCTGGGAGCACAGGACACACTCAAAGCTGTGTCAGATATGTCTGGGGAGCCCCCACCAGACAAGGCACTGACCACAGTAGCTAAGCACCCACCTCAGGCATAGCCTCTCCCCCACAAACCTGCACCCCCTCTTGGGCCCCCAGACCTGGCTCCTCACTCTCAGCCCAGGGCTACCCTGGGCTCAGCACCTCCATCACACATGCTCAGTGCTCCCAGACAGCCCCAGACCCCACCAGTTTCCCTCCATTCTACCCATCTCCTTCAGTCTCTAGCCTCCAAGCCACCCACCCCAGTAGTTCAGGAGTCACTTAACATCTGAGGTCACTTTTGCCCAACTCTCAGCGCCAGGCCTGGTGATGCCCTCTGGTGTGGACCACACAGGGCCTGCAAGGAGAGCCCAGACATGGTGCAGAGTAACCTCAGTCCCTGTTCCCCATGAAGGCCTGTGCTCCCTGTCTCCACTGAGCTTCTGGCTTCAGATTCTCTTCCATTTGTATTAGCTGAACAACTTTAAACACTCCATGACCTCCAGCGCACAGCTGCTGCCCGGCCCAGTGAACCACCCAAGCCAGCATATGAGAATAGGGGCGGTGGTAGAAGGAAGAAAGGAAGTCTCCAGGCTGTGGCCGCTGCCTGGACACCACACACACAAACACAACCCAATCATCCTCTCACCACCCAGCAGCTCCCAGGCATGGGACAGGGAAGAGGAAAAGTTGGGTGGGGGAGGGGACCCAAGCAACTCAGTACAGGACAAACAGCCTCAGCAGAGGAAGAATAAAGTGAGCTATCAACACCCAGCTCTGACGCAGTCCCCATCTGGGGCTGGCTTCTCAGCCTGGCTGCAGCCCATCCCCACCACGGCACAGGTAACTGACCAGCAGTAGAAGCAGCACACATGGAGCATTACCTAGATGCCAGGCAATTCTGTTTTAACTCCCTGGCCTGTACTAACTACTCAGAAGAACCCTTCAAGGCTTCCACACACTGTCGACTGTAGACCACACCTGTGTGCTCAGACACTGTGCTCCAGGGCTCCGCACATGCACTGTGTACACAACGTCAAAGTTCACAACTGCCTCCCAAAGAAAGTCATTCTGACGCCATCACACAGAATGAGCAGAGGCAACCAAAGCCCAGTGCCCAGTGCCTCTAAGGCCATCTGGTCCCAAAGGACAGCATTTATGGAGCCTTTCCTATAGGCAAGGCGCTGACCAGAGCATATGCTTGTTACCTACCTCCTGAGACTCTCACAAACACCTGAGGCAGAGATTGCTGCTGTTCCCAAGTCACTGGGGAGGACAGAGTAGGGCCAATAGGGAAGTCCTCAAGTGCCTCTTTCACAGGCTGTCCCCCTCCCACTCCCACAAGATCCAGCCATCTCCTCTGCACAGGCTTCCACTGTCTCCCAAGCCCCTGTGACCTGCTACCAAAATGCCTGCAGGCCCCAGGAAAGAAATAACCACAGATGTAGCTCCAGGCCCAGGGAAGAGAATTTCATGCTCAGGGAAGCAATGTGGGGCTAAAACAAAGTAGGGTTAGGACCTGCCTCATGCATGACCTCAGGCAGGTCTATGGCCACCTGGGCTTCCATCCCTTCCTGAAGCTAAGCTAAGCCTTGGTGCCAGAATCAACGTGAGAGCCTCCTTCATCTCCCTGCTCATCCACCCTCTGCCTGCCAAGATGACCACCCTAAGGCTCAGTTCAGGTCGGCTTGGCCACAACATTGCTCCCAGGCTGCCTCAACAATTAAATCTACAACAATACTGACAAGGGGATACTGTCAGTTCCTAAACCCTGGCCAAAAACAACTCAAAGTGAAGTGGAGGAAAGAGTTCAGTAACCAGAGAAGGCATGACAGAGCTGGAGGAGACAGCAGCAGACTCAAGGCCTGAGGTGGAGTGGGGGTAGAGGGGAAAGGCACTTGAGAGTCCCCACCCTCTCCTTGGGGCTTCCAGGTCCTAGTCCACAGCACACAGAGACTCACCCCATAACCCCCCAACCCAGTCTGCTTTTCCCAATAATCATTCTAAAGCACAAACTTGAGCACCTCACGTCCACTCTGGCTGAAAGCCCTGCAGTGGCTCCCTGATCTTCACAATCAGGACCCAGAGGCTCAGCCCCTGCCCACTCCCAACCTTTCCTCTGGCTGAGCCCACCCTCTACCCACTGAGTGACATGCAGCCCCCTCCAAGTCTGCACACCAGGTTCTCTCAACCCTGCCCTGTCCTTTCAGCTCACTGACTAACCTCCAGATCAGAGATGTGATCCCACTGCCCCCAGAGGGCCATGCCCAGTACCACCACACCCACAGTGGGCTCCAGTCTCCCTGGGCTCCTGTAGCCAGCATCTGGGGAGTGTTTCCTTCATACAGTGTCTCCTGTGGCCCCCCAAGGTCCCTGCAACACATGGCTGCTCCCTGGGCACAGTGCTGGATGTCCAGGCCTCTTGGGTTTTCATAAATGAGGGCATTTCCTGGACACCTCGGATGACGACAATGACACCAACAACTGTGGTGCCCCAGCACCTCCACTGTGCCAACCACCCTTCTAAGGATTTCATGGCCAGTACCTCAACTAACTCTCATAACCACTCCACCAAGGAAGGAATTGCTGGCCCCATTTCACAGGTGAGGAAACAGGCACATCACGGTAACTGCCCACGCCCAGATGTGGGGACTAGTGAGCAGTGGGACCAGCACTCAGCTCCTAGAAGGTGAATTCTCAGAATGCAGCAGCATTGTCCCCAGCCTGCGCCAACAGATGCTTACAGAATGACTGAGTTAGCTCAGTCCCGTGGCTCTAGCACTCACTCTACCTGAGGGAACAGCTCTGGCTATGGCCATCTCTGACCTGGCTCTCATCCTGCAAAGCTTTTCATTTCCAGCTGACCCTTTCTGGTCCTCAGGGGGACTTGGCTGGACAATATGCTCAGAGTCCACCTTGTCCCCAGTATCTAGCACTTACTCAACAGACCCCTTCTGGATTAAGTGTAGAAGGCTACGGACCTCACACCCCTCATGATCCTAGACATGACAGTACAGCCCACCACACGCCAATCACTGTGTGACTCTCAACCACTCAGAGGCCTAGGCTCTCCTCCAACCCCACACCACCAGAAATCTAGGGGCTTCTCAGGGGCTTCCCCATCCCTCCTTGGCCCAGATCCAGGCAAACATAACCCACCCCCTTCAATCCCCCAGGCCTCCCTATGCCTCTCTCCATCCTGTCCTCCACAGGCATACAGATGGAGCTTGCTGAAGTGAAAATGAGCCCCTCAGGACCCTCAGTGGCCCTCCATTGTTCTCAAATACCACCTCAAAATCCTACCCTGGTTCCTCCAGTCTCGCTTATGCCATGATCTGCACTTGCTCTGGCCACACTGGCCTGCTTCCAGAACACGCTAAACTCAGGTCCACCTCAGCAACTCTGTCCCAATAACTGATTTCTTCTCATCCTTTGGGTCTGCTGCCAAACGATCACCTAACAGAGGGGCCTCCCCCAACCAGCCTGACCCAAGCAGCCTCCAGTCCCGCTTTGTGCACTGCTTTGTTGCATCTCCCTGGGATGTGCATTCCAACCTGCACTGTACTTACCACTGTCTGGAAGTATCTCTATGACATAGTAAAGACAGTAACCACGTGCTTGTGGTACACAGGATTAGACTGAATGACTCTCATTCCTTCTAAAACCTTCCTCACTAGGTTACCTCAAGCACCTAGCAGAGAACATAGCACTATGGCAATAAATACAATATTAGCTGAAAGACACCTGTCTCCAAACCACCATGTTTTCAAAGGCCCTGCCCCTCTGAGGCAGGAGGCTAACGTACTTGTCAGGGCATCAATAAAGTAAAATCACTCCCACCGCCTGGTCCCATCCCCTTCCAGCCACTCTCAGGGGCTCCCTAAATCACGAGGTAAGAGGAGACACAAGATCATCCACGGCAGGCTAGGGAGGAACAGGTTAGCCTTCAGGGCTGAACCAGGTGTTGAATGTGTGTTCTCCCACGTGTTGGATGAGGACAAAAGCAACACTCCTTCACAAGGAAATACAGTGTCCCCTTCTTACTTGGAGAACCTCCCTGTGCAAGGCCGTAACTTCCCACTTTTGCCCAAATGCTAGACCTCAAGGAACGCTTCCCTACTTCTATGCCATTTAATAATGAGGAATGTGACAGACTAACCAGTGCCTGTGTCACAGATGAGAAAACAGAGGCTCAGCAAAGGTGACTCACCAGCCAAAGCACACTAATGGGGGGAGGAGGATTTCCTGATCTGGTGTACCTGGGACCAGAATAATCTCAAGGAGCAACCACCAAATTAATCATGATTCTGCCAATTTCCGGCCTAAGCCCATCCCATGAGAAGCAATGAGGAGAAGCTTGAAGCGGTGAGCACAAAGCCTCTTCTATGTGGGAGACTGGTTTCACATGGCAGTAAGGATGCCAGTCAGGTCAAAAAGCCACCCAAACCAAGTAAATAAAGAAACACACAGTGGTATGGTTCCAATGATGTAAAATGCCCAGAATAGGCAAATGCAGAGAGACAGAAGGTAGACTAGAGTAGAGGTGGGGGGATGGGAGGAACACAGGTAGTGACTGCTAACAGGTACAGGATTTCCCTTTGAGGGTGATTTTTTAAAAGTTCTAAAATCAATTGTGGTGACAGTTCCACAACATTGTGAGTATACTAACAACCAACGAATTGTGCATTTTAAATGGATAAATCGTATGACATATGAATTATATCTCAATAAAAACTGTTACCAAAAACACAAAAGCCTCCCAAGCGCTACTGTGGTGGGGCCAGGCTCAGGCCTTGCACTATGTCTCAGCCACCCCAGAGCTGACAAGGCACCAGCTGGCATGACAAAGCTCAAGAATCTGCCTTGGGGAGGTCGCCCAGGTTACTCGTTCCCCATCCCTCATGACCAATATCCCTGAGCTAAGTAAGCACCCCACCCCCCAACAATGGGAGGGGCAGCAGAATAGGGACAAGGC